CCTTCACCTTTCTATGTCCTACCTTTTCCTCAAAACTTACCTGATGCCATGGACTCATTTTCCTCCTCTGGGTTCACCATCCGCCAATCCTCTTCCTTTTGAAGCTTTATCCTCAGGGCAGCCCAAGAGATCTTTCAAATGCACGAACCTGCCCTTGCTGCCCCTGCTCCAGAACCTTCTGTGGCTCCCCAGTGCCCTTGTCAACCTGCCCAACTCCATCTCTCCTCCCTGACCTCCCCCCAACCACGTTCTACCCTCCAGCCTCNCCCGCCTGCCCTCCCCCGCCCCCCCACCCCTGGCCCATCCATCCCTGCGTCTCCCAGGCTCCTCCTCTCCTTCCCCAGAGATCTGAACGGGCCCTCCCCTGCTCTCAATCTGACAGTTGCTACCACTGCTCCCAAGAGAAAGGCCAGAGCCGCTGCCTGCATCAGGCCCCTTCCCCAGCGGGGCTCCAACCAACCCTGCTCCCCTCTCCTCTGGCCACCATGAGCTGTGGTTTCCCAGTTCTTCCTTCTTTCTCAGCTCCCTGGGGCGCAAGTCACTGCCTAATTGTGAGCCAGGCCCTGTCCCTTCTCTGCCCACAGCCCTCCATGGCTCCCACCTTCCTTGAGGGGGAAAAGCCCAATTCCCCCCGCAGCCCAGGTCCTCCATGAGCTGCCCCGTCCCCTCCCCTCCTCCCTGTCCCCCCCTCTTCACTCTGCTCCAGCCACACAGGCCTCCTCGCTGCTCCTCCAACTGTCCAGGCTCGGTCCTGCCCCAGGGCCTTTGCACGGGCTATTAGTGCGGCCTGGCCTGGAGCTCACCTCCCCTAGAGAGCCACACATTTCAACGCCTCGCCTCCTTGGGTTTCAGCTCAGCTTCTCAGTGAGGTCTTCCTATACACCTTATTCAAATTGCTCCCCACCCTACTTTCCTGCTACGCTTTCCTCCACAGCTGCTAGCACCTTCTGGTATACTATGTAATGCATTGTTCTGAGTTTTGCACATCGTCTGTCACCCCAGGAGGATGTCCACTCTATGAGGACAGGGATTTTCTCTGTCTGTATCCCCAGCCAGGCACAAAAGTGGCGCTTGAGGGACTCTTCCTAAATGAATGACTGTGCCTAGAATGCCCTCCTGCAATGCTCTTCACCCTTCACCTTTCTATGTCCTACCTTTTCCTCAAAACTTACCTGATGCCATGGACTCATTTTCCTCCTCTGGGTTCACCATCCGCCAATCCTCTTCCTTTTGAAGCTTTATCCTCAGGGCAGCCCAAGAGATCTTTCAAATGCACGAACCTGCCCTTGCTGCCCCTGCTCCAGAACCTTCTGTGGCTCCCCAGTGCCCTTGTCAACCTGCCCAACTCCATCTCTCCTCCCTGACCTCCCCCCAACCACGTTCTACCCTCCAGCCTCACTCTGTGCCTTTGCACTCTCTGTTCCCTTTGCCTACAACAGCTCTTTAGTACCTTCCCCTGACTGATCCTTATTCATTCATTTCTCTGGCCTCAATTTAGATATCACCCTCTCCTGGAAGCCTTCCAGGACCACTCCCACACCCGGGGGTCCAGCACTTCCTCCGGGCTCCACCATGCCTGTGCCCCCTCATCACGGCCTTGATAATCCTGTTTTATCTGCCTGGTCCCCAGAGCTGACTCATCCATCGGACACAGGGTCCCACAGAAATATTTTCATTTTAATTTCTCTCAAAATCAGAAGAAGAAAAAAAAATAATCGTAATGAATCTATATTAATGAATCCAGCTTAGATTATATGAGTCTTTATACCAACGCAGTCATAAAAGATCATTTTTAATATTTTTTCATAGAGGAAGGGGCCTGTAAAGGACATGGGGCCTCGAGCCCCCAGAAGTCTTAATGTGGCCAGTCCCCTGTCTCCAGTGCTGTGAAGGCAGAGATCAAGCCTGGGTCCCCAGGGCTGTCCAGCACAGGCCTGGCACACAGCAGCTTAATTACTGCTTGTTAGATGACTGAATATCAAGCAATCGCTGGCTGGCTCACACGTAATAGGACATGCTTGATAAATGGGTGGATGGACGGAGGGGAAGGACAGGGCGGACGCTGGGAACACCTGGACCAAGCAGGGACCAACAGCGCCCCCTTGTGGTGTGATGCTCATCCGCCTCTGCCTCCGCTTCTCCCTGCAGAAAAGCCCTTAATCGATTGGGAGGCGGTAAAGAGGGAAGAAAGTCGAGAAGGAGGAGGCGATCTCAGCGACAAAGACCTCGAAGACAGACGACTCAGGGCTCAAACCCCGCGGCTGGAAATTTCGGGCTGTGTGACCTGAGGCAAGTTACTCTGCCTCTCTGATCCCCAGGCCACTGAATAATGTAATCAAATAGCTCAGAAAACAGCAGCTATTTCTTACCTTCCATCCTGGGGCTGCAGGAGGTGAGGAGGGGACACCCTGGATGGGGTGTTGCTCTCAAGAAGTCCCTTCCCCCCAAGGCTGGGAGGTGATAGAGCCTCCTTGAGGACTAGGCTGCGACAGAGAAAGGGACATAGGTTTGGGGTGGGGTTGTCAGATTTAGCACAAACAAAAACAAAAATAGTGCTGGCCCGTGGCTCACTCGGGAGAGTGCGGTGCTGATAACACCAAGGCCCCGGGTTCGGATCCCATATAGGGATGGCCGTTTTGCTCACTGGGTGAGCGTGGTGCTGACAACACCAAGTCAAGGGTTAAGATCCCCTTACCGGTCATCTTTAAAAACAAACAAAGCAAAACAAAAAAACAAAAATAAAAACTAAAAGTAATGCCCAGCTGAGTTTGAATTTCAGGTCAACAATGAATAATTTTTGAGTATGAGTATGTCCCAAATATTTCGCTGGATACACTTATACCCCTAAAATGTACTCATTGAATTCACTTGAAATTCAAATTTAAATGGGCATACTGAATTTTATCTGTCAATCGGAGTCTGGGGGATCCTGAGGGGTGGGCAGGGAAGGCTTCCAGAAGGAGAGGGCAGTGGATCTGGAAAGGGAGGGTGTCCCAGGCAGATAGTTCCCGAAAGACCTAAGCTAGCTAGGGCTGGCCCCGTGGCGCACTCAGGAGAGTGCGGCGCTTGGGAACGCAGCAGCGCTCCCGCCGCTGGTTCGGATCCTATATAGGGATGGCTGGTGCGCTCAAGCGCGGTGCGGGCGACACCAAGCCGAGGGTTGCGATCCCCTTACCGGTCACAAAAATGACAAAAAAATAAATAAATAAAAAGAAGACTTGAGCTAGCTTGCTAAGGACCCTCCCTCCCCTTCCCCCACCTGCACCCACACATGCGCAGGGGCAAATGCCGGTGGCTGTTTTCACAGGGGACTGAAAGGGGTGGAGGGGGAGTCGATCTGTACAGCAGAGCAGGTGAGCCTGGCTGTTCTGCCAGCCTGATCCTCCCTCCCTACCTGGGACAACCTGCCAGCCCCTGCCCGGCCTGCCGCCTCTCCACCTCTTTCCCACTATCCAAGGTCCTGCCTGCCCGGCCCTTTTGCTGCAAAGATGTGAGGCAAAGTCACCAGGACATTATCTGAAATTGGGTTACATCCCCTTGTCCAGAGATACTTTGACACTGAAGGCCACTGAGAAGCGAAGGCTACCACGCATAACTGTCACTGATCTTTGAGCTGTGTGACCTTGGGTAAGTCACTTCACCCCTCTGAGCCATCCTGCCCTCCCTCCTCCCTGTCTTCCCCTCCGTCACTCCTCTCCAGCCACAGGGAGCCGAATGAGTGAATGAGTAGAAAGCAAAGACCTGCAGCAAATGTCATACAGTTTTCACCTGTATAGTTTGTTCCTCTCATCATTTTGGGGTCTCAGACTCACTTGGGAATCTGACTAGTTGCATGTGATTACTGAAATTTAAACATTCAGTTTCTCTGTGCACAACAGGCATGTGGTACTAGTGGCTACTAATATTGGATGGTGCAAAATTCTAGGACATTCCCAACTTTCGCAGAGAGTTTTATTGCACAGTGCTAGCGTAGGCGCTGTAAAAAAGAAAAAAAAAAGTGCACTCAGTCACACACACCCAATTTTTTCCATGTTTTTTCTAGAGTTCCAGAAATTCCATGCCAATTCACATAATTTAGCAGATGTAGCAAACTCGTGGCCCCTGGGTGAGATACAGCCCCAGCTGGGTATTATTTTATCCAATAGTTATCCAAGAGAAGATAGTTTTCTACAGTCTGCAATTCCTCTGGATCTGCAAATCCCAATGTTCTGCCCCTCTAGGCAGGGCTTGCTGCCACGCCCTCAGCAGAGACATTTACCTCCTGCCTAGCCCCTGGGGCCATCTGAAATTAAGAACTTGGTTTATAGACCAAGAGTATAAAGAATATTTGGGAGGAGTGTGGGTGGTGGAATCCAATCGAGGCAGCTTCAGGAAGGGCTTGATCCAGGAGCTGGAGAGAAGAGGGCCTGGCTCCTGCACTGCCCCTGACTAACTCTCTCTGGGCCTCAGTTTCCTCATCTATAAAATGGGGATGATAAAGGGACGACGTAGTGTTGGGAGGGTTAAGGGCAAGCAGAAGGGGTTCCGAATGTGTTTACTGCTGTGTGGTTCGAGGTGCCCGTCCTGCTGGGTCTGGCTTGGCTCCATCAGCCAGGCGGCGAGGCCCCCACGCGCTGGGGGAATCGCGCAACCATTGCTGGGTTCTCGCAGCCTCAGTTTGGCCACCTGTGAAATGGGGGACTTGGGGGATCCCAGAACCAGCGCTGCGTGCCCCGGATCGCAGTCATCTCCCAGGCCCGAGTTCACAGGGTCCCCGTGCGGGGAGGGGCGCCCCTTGGCTGGGTCAGGCATCGGGCACGAGTCCCGTGTTCCCCCACAGGGATAAGGTGCGGAGTCCTTCTCGGACTTCACTAGGGGCGACGACGTCCCGGGACCCGCGGAGGGGCGGGGCCTAGTGGGGGGGTGCAGCCCCCCGACCTGATTGGTCATTGGGCCCGTCACTCCCCGGCGCCCGCCCCCCGCGAGGTTAAAAACTCCGGCTCCGCCCGGGCTCCGGACGGTTTCGGAGCTGGCTTGGAAGTCGCGGTCACCTCGACTCGGACGTCCCGCTGACCGAGGTGGGAGGTAGGGGAGCCCGATCGAGCTGGGGGGTGGGGTCCGCCGGGTCCTGGGGCGCCCCAGGGGAGGAGGGGACGGGAAGGGGCTTCCCGGGGGCTGTGCTGGGCCCCGCGGCCTGGGCAGGGAGACCTGAGCGCCCCTCCCCACCGAGGAGTCCAACTTGTGTAACGGGCTCAGACTTTCAAACTCTGTCTTCTCAATTCCGGGGACTTTAGAGGGGGCGAAAGAGCCCCTAAGAAGGGGTAGTATCATGGGGGTGGGCTAAATCCCATCCCCCAACCAATCCGAAAAGTGTGCCCACTTTTGCAAACTGCGGACAAGCCTCCTTGCAGCGCCACCCCCTCCTGCCCAGGAACTCAGCCCTCCCTCCCTGGGCCTGAGAGACACCGGGAGGCCGTCCGTCAGCCTAGCAGAGCCCCCTCCCTTGCAAATGGTTTTGTCACCTGGGAGCTTGCCCCAGTTTCTGGCCCCCCAGCTGACACTGGGAAGGTCTTGAGAAATCCTGTCCCCTTCCCTTGGGTGGGTGTGGCCGCGGGATTGCAAAAGGCCTTCCGTGGGAAGGGCTCCCCCATATCTGCTTTGGGGCCCTTAAGGGGCTGGGCCTGGGACCTTGGTCGCTTGGAACTTTGGAAGTCTGGTCTTAACGTGTCTCTGGGCTGGGGGCTCCCCCTCTTTGGGCCTTGCCCTGTTTCTGAGATGAGGAAGTGGATGTGTGGAGTGAGGGTGGGGGGTCGCTTCAGCTCCAGCCAGCTCTTGCTCTAGCAGCTGGAGCCAGCTTCAGGCAGGTTGCTGACCCCAGAGACTTCAATGGGGCGCTGTTATCTCCAATGGCCACCCTTGCTTAAAGCGGCCCCAGCAGGGATCAATGGACGGAGGGTATAGGAGGAATCTGCCTGAGTCCTATGCAAGATTTGGGAATCTGTTGAGGCCAGGGCAGGGATGCTTACCTGGCCTCTGCCCAGGTGAGCACAGGCCTCTGCCCAGGTGAGCCCAGGCTCCCAAGAAGGTGAAAAGAATAGAATTTATTTATTTATTTATTTTATTATTATTATTTTTTTAAAGATGACCGGTTAGGGGATCTCAACCCTTGGCTTGGTGTTGTCAGCACCACGCTCAGCCAGTGAGCAAACCGGCCATCCCTATATAGGATCCGAACCCGTGGCCTTGGTGTTATCAGCACCGCACTCTACCGAGTGAGCCACGGGCCGGCCTAAAAGAATAGAATTTAGGTCATGATCACCAGGAGGGAGGTATGTCTTCTCACTTGACTTGCCAGTTAGTGGACCTTTGTAACAAGTAGGAAGCCCATTTCTGGCTGTTTTCATGCCTTTGTACGTAGAAGCCAGAGTAGGGTGAGATAGTTCTGCTTACTGAGCACCTGCTATGTGCCAGGCCCTGAGCTAAGTGTCCCCTCCAACCCGCAGGGGCTCTGAGCTAATGTGAAATGCTTGTCCCCATTTCACAGATGTGGCGAGCACAGCCCCTGGGGCGTGCTGCCTTTGAAAGCTCCCACTGCTAGTGAGTTGCAAAGCCGGGATTAGAACCACATCTGGACTCCAGAACCAGTGCTCTCAAAACATTTTGCTGGATTCTGCTTAGGGGAACAAGGCCACCAGAGCCCAGGCTCAGAATCAAGGTCTTGGGTTCTCAATAGGCTCACACCAGAATTCCCCCAGGAACCAGCCCTTAAGGCCTGTACTACTTTAGTCCCGTTTTACAGGTGAGACAAGCGAGGCTAGGGGAGAGGAAGAACCTTGCCCAAAGGACCCCAGCATAGGCAGAGCTGGGACTCCCAGCTTCCGTGTGGAAATCTAGTCTGACAATGCTGTCCCTGCCTTATCTCACCTGGCCAGAAAAATGGAGCACACCTGTGGCTCCCTTCCCACTTGTTACAGTGAGCCTTACCCTCACCTGGGGAGCCCCGCCCTCCCTATACCCCTAAGTCTGGCTTGATTGGTCTGCAGTGGGGCCAGGGGTGGTCTAACTTTTTAATTTTTAAAATTTAAAAAGTTTTTTTGGAGGCTGGCCAGTATGGGGATTCAAACCCTTGACCTTGAAGTTGCAGCACTTTGCTCTAACCAACTGAGCAAACCGTCCAGTTCTTTTTTTATTTTTATTTTTTTTAAAACCTTAACTTTTTTTGAACAGGTAATACTATCTACCTGGTTTAAAAGTCAGAAGCCTCTCTCCCGTCCGCTCCCCCAGCTACCTGATCCTCCTCCCTGCAAGGTGGCCACTGTTAACAATTTCCTGTGTCTCTTTAAAGATTCTATACTAATGTGAGCAAAAACTTTTGTCCTATTCAACACTTTTTGTCTCATAACAATATCTTGGTCCATGTCAGTTACATGTAAGTGTCATTCTTCAGCTGCTGAGCTGGGATATGCTGTTATTATTTTTTAGTCCCCTTCCACTGGGCATCTAGGTTGTTTCCAGTATCATGTTGGGGCTGACACAGGGACATGTACCTCTGCCCACGTGGCAGTGCAGGTATGGGGAGTCTTTCCGGAAGTGAGGTTTCTGGGTCAAAGGGAAGATGCCTCCTGAAACATCACAGCTATTGGCAAACTGCCCTCTCTGGAGGTTTTGCACCATACCTGTCTCTCTGGAGGTGAGGTGATACAGGTGAGCCCTTGAAAGGGCTGCTCTCAAGCCTTGCTTCGGGGACCCAGCTACATTACCAACACCTGGGAACTTGTTAGAAATATAGAGTGGGGTCACCTCCATCTGGGACCTGCTGAGTCAGCGCCTGCTTTTAACAAGGTTCTCAGGTGACTCTTGTGTGTGATAATGAAGGGAGGCACAGCTCTTAGTCTTGGGGTATGGAGTGCGGGTGTGAGTCCTCTGTCCCACGGATCCTGCGTGGGCCTGGACTTTTTCCCTGCCAGGAGGGGCAGAACGGGCTGCACCCTGACTGTTCTGTGTCCACCTGTCCCCAGTGCCTGCTGCTGAGATCATGTCTACCAACGGGACAGAGGCCAGTGCTGGCACCCAGGTGACGGCAGAAGAACCGGTACAGCAGGTGAGGAAGACCTGAGACCAGGGACGGCCCCATGATGCCTGTGCAGTGAGGCTTCCCACACCATGGTGCCCTGGTAGGGAGGCCAAGAGGGGTGTCTTTGTCAGCAAAGTGCACACCACTCACAGTTGCCCCCAGTGGGGTGGGAGAACGGGAATTTCAAAGGCTTTTGGGTAGGGGGGCCAGGAGCAGGGCTCTGTCTGAAAATGCCTGCCCCCCCCACCAGAGCCAAATTATCTTCATCTCTGCGGATTCTCTTAGGGTCCCCCCCCTTGTGGGAAGCCAGTCCCCATTCCAGCTCTCTCCCTCCAGTTAAATAAAGGCTGCTTTTTTTTTTTTCCTTTTTGTCTTTTTTACTGACCGGTAACGGGATCGCAACCCTTGGTGTCGCGCCCGCACCGTGCTCAGCCAGTGAGCGGGAACCAGTCTCCACATGGGATCCGAACCCTCGGCGGGAGCACCGCCGTGCTCCCAAGCGGCGCGCTCTCCAGTGCGCCACCAGGCCGGCCCTAAAGGCTGCTTTTAAATAACTTCCAATGTGCAATTCATATACCATAAAATTCACCCTTATAAAGTATAGTACTCAATGATATTTTAGTAAAGTTTACCAAGTTGTGACCATCACCACGATACGGTTTTGGAGCATTTTTCTCTCCCCAAAAGAAACCAAGTCTCCATTAGCAGTCATCCCCTTCCCCAACCCCTCTCCCAGCTCCTGGTAACTGTTCATCCAATTTTTTTTTTTTGGCATCTGGATAGTATGCGGATCCGAACCTTTGACCTTGGTGTTATCAGCACCACACTGTAACCGAGCTAAGCAGCCAGCCCCCAGTTTCTGTGTCTATGGATTTGCTTATTCTGGACATTTCACATAAGCAAAATCATACAACATGTAGTCTTTTGTCTGGATTTTAGTTAACATTATGTCTTTTGTGTATGTGGCTGGCTGGTATGGGGAACCAAACCCTTGACCTTGATGTGACAAGGCCACAACTGTGACCTTGATGTGACAAGGCTAACCAACTGAGCTAACTGGCCAGTCCCCTGAATATATTTAAAAAGCACTGGATTGAATACTTTCTTTTTATTTAATTTATTTGTGTTTTTGGCAGCTGGCTGGTATGGGGATCCAAACCCTTGACCTTGGTGTTATAACACCACGCTCTAACCAACTGAGTGGACCAGCCAGCCCTGGGATTGTATACTTTCAAAGGATGAAATTTATGGTGTGTGAATTATATCCCAATAAAACTTTAGAAAAAAGAAAAAATAGGTGATGAGCTGGATTTGGCCTGTGGGCTGTAGTGTGCAGCCCCCAGTTTTAGACCGTAAACTCCAGGAGAACGGGGCTGTTGTCCCTTGTCACTGCCTAGCACGTAGTAGGGGGTAAGGTACACGGTTAAAGAAACGAGATGCACATAGGGCTAAGATAAAGGAAGCTCATGGCAGAACCCTGAAGTTCTTGGCTTGTACAATGCTTGGGTGCAAAGTATGGTGAGCCAAGCCATTTTGGTGGCTGGGAGCAGAAGCAAATCTGTAGGGCACCGCGAGTTTTGGGCCCAGTCCCCCACCCTCCTGCACCTGTCCCAGCCTACCTGAGTTGTTTCTCGCCCCACAGCTGAGCGTGGTGGACCGCGTGGCCAACATACCCCTCATCAGCTCTACCTGCGACATGGTGTCTGCCGCCTATGCCTCCACTAAGGAGAGCCACCCCCATGTCAAGACCGTGTGTGATGTGGCAGAGAAAGGTGTGAGGACCCTCACGGCAGCTGCTGTCAGTGGGGCCCAGCCCATCCTGTCCAAGCTGGAACCCCAGAGTGAGTGAAGCCCCGGAGAACCTCACATCTCCCCTCCTGGCTGTTTCATGGGGGGGGGTCTGGCCTCCCTCTGTCCCTGTCCCCCCAAACCAACATAAGGTGACCCTCCCTGGGCACTTTTCCTTTCTTTTATTTATTTATTTTTGGTGGCTGGCCAGTGTGGCAATCCGAACCCATGACGTGGGTGTCATCAGCACCACGCTGTAAGCAGCCGAGCTAACCAGCCAGCCCCATGGTCAAATTTCTGTCCTGCTTTGTCACTTGCAGTTGTATCAGCCAGCGAGTATGCCCACAGGGGGCTGGACAAGTTGGAGGAGAGCCTGCCTGTCCTGCAGCAGCCCACGGAGAAGGTAACGGAGTCTGCCACCAGGAGCCCCTTGGGGACTTGGCTGAGACAGGGGCCCACCTGGGCATGGAGTCTGCTGGTCCCAGCCTCACTAGAGTAGACAACCATGACCCTGTCCTCCTTGGTCCCTCTCCTGCCTGTCCTCACCCCCACTTGGCAGCTGGAGGAATATTCTAAACACTCCCTGTGGCTCCCAGCTCGCCCAGAGCAAAAATGTTCCCCAAGGCCGACACAGCCCCACCTGATCTGGTCCCATCACCTCCCTGCCCTCATCGTCCACCTTGCTTGGTTGCTCCAGACACACTGGCCCATGACCTTGCTCAGGAGTGTCAGTGCCCATGTATACCAGGCACAGTTCAGATTTGGGGGACACAGTGACAGAAACAGAGTCCTTCTCTTCATAGAACTCCATTACAAATACAACAAATGTGCCCATCTTGGTCCTACCCCAGGACCTTTGCACATGCTCTTTCTTCTTTATGGCCCAGTCTTTCAAGTCTCTGTTCTTTCTTTTTTTGTTTTAGTGGCTGGCTGGGATGGGGATCCAAATCCTGTACCTCGGTGCTATAACACTGTGCTCTACCAACCTAGCTATCCAGCCAGCCCTCAAGTCTCTGTTCTAATCTCCTCTTCAGTGGCCTTCTCTTACTTCTAGAAGGTTGTCCTAGCGCCCCGCTGTTCAGTAGACCTTTCTTTGATATGCATTCTCTCTGTGGCATGCAATACAGAATTCTTAACTTTACTTAATTTTTATTATTTTAAGTTTAGATAGTTCCCGAGTGGCTCCCGGAGTAGCGTATTCCTAAGCACATTATGTCAGCTTTTTCGTTTAACAGCTTTGCCGAGATATAATTTACATACTATACCACTCACCTGTGTCAGGTGTACAATTCAGTGGCTTTAGTCTATTCAGATTGTGCAGCCATCGCTCTCAATTTTAGGACGTTTTTGTCACCCCAAAAAGAAACTCCACTCCCCTTACTTGTCACCCTCCTTCCCACCGAACACCCAGCCCAGGCAGCCACGAATCCACCTTCTGTCTCTGTATATCTGCCTACCAGGGGCGTTTCCTCTTAGTGGAATCATAATATGTGGTCTTTGTGTCTGGCTTGTTTCCTTTAATGTGTTCAGGGCTCCTCTAGTTCGTAGCACGTGTCAGAGCCTCTTTTCTTTTTAAGACTGAATCCTATTCCATCATGTGGATGGACCATGTTGGGTTTATTTGTTCATCTGCTGATGGACACTTAAGTTGTTTCCATTTCTTGGCTATTGTGACTCATGCTGCTATGAACATTTGTGTACAATTTACATTTGTTTTTTAAAATGTAATTGCAGTGAAACACACAACATAAAATTTACCACCTTAATCATGTTTAGTGCACAGCTCAGTGGCATTAAGCACATTCACATGGCTGTGCAGCCGTCACCACCATCATCTCCAGAACTTTCTCATCTTCCCAAACTGAAGCTCTGTCCCCATGAAACACCCACTCCCCAGACCCCTCCCCAGCCGCTGGCACCCCCATTCTACTTTCTGTCTCTGTGGATCTGACGACTCCGGGGACCTCCTATGAGTAGGATCACACAGTGTTTGTCCTTGTGTGACTGGCTTATGTCACTGAGCACAGTGTCCTCAAGGTGTATCCACGTCACAGCACATGTCAGGATGTCCTTCCTTTTGAAGGCTGAATCACATTCCGTGGTATGGATAGACCACCTTTTGCTCATCTCTCTGTTGATGGACACGTGGGTTGTTTCCACTTCCTACCTGTTGTACATAATGCTGCTGTGGACAGTCGTGTACAAGCTGCATTCATTTTCGGAGAGTGTGACACTCGACTGCTGATGGTTTGTCTCCTTGGCTGGGACAAGGGCACAGACTGTGTGCTTTGCTGCTGTGTTTAGTGCCTAGTGCAGCCTGGCACGCAGTAGGTGTTCCTCT